CCTTTTCTTCTGAACAATGACTGGAAAGGAGTCCAGATGGCGACTATAATTTTCTTTTTAGGAAACCAAAAAAAAAAAAAAGAAAAACAGAAAGCAACCAAAACAGGTCCTCTCTTGTGTAATTATAATCACCACACATCATGAAAATCTTCATCAGCCTCTTCCACCCGTTCAACTCTTTGTGGCGGAACCATAAACGTACAAAGAAGTTATATAGACTCACACGAATACCTAAGCATGCTGCATCCAGATGTATGTATAAAAACGTTTTTTTTAATGGGCGACATGTCTCTCTTCTTTTCCCACTCTATACTTACACGCTCACAGTTGCACACAATATCAATTAAATTTACATACACAAAACTAAATTAAATTCATAGCGTTTTTCTATTACATCAAAATATCTATCTTAATTCTATTTGTTCACGCACACACACATACACACACATATCGATCTCAAATGAAGATTGATGCTTAAAATCGCTTGTAAAATCTTCCAAAACCTTCAAAATCTCGGTGTTCACAAGCTCTTTGGCATTACTGTCAGTGTCACGATTTAAACATCGGGCACGTGACAACTGATTTTGGTATCGTGAGACTTTCGAGATTATGAAGACCGGCTTACTTGGGAACTGATGACATCAGGAAGATAGTTGATGAAGAATAGAAACAGTGTAGAACCCAGGATAGAGCCTTTGGGGAACATCAGCGTTCGTATGAAAGAAACTGGATGAGAACCCGTTTAGGACTACGTTTATTTCACGGTTTCACAGGAATGATTAGATTAAATCAAATAATCGTCCTGTCATACTGTATCCCTGAAGCTTACGAAGAAGGCCGGCATGCCAAACCCTATCAAACGCCTTAAAGATATCTAGGGCCACAGCTCGAGCTTCGCCGTCATTATCAAGAGCTTGGTATACAAATTCAGTTATAGTCGTAAGCAAGTCAGCGGTAGACCGGGCAAAGCGGAAACCATATTGTTTGTCAGAGAGTAGATCATGGGATGTAAGGTGCTTAACCACTTCGGCATTGATTAAAGTCTCGAAGATTTTGGCGAAGTTTGGTATGGGACTGATGGGACGGTAGTTAGATGGATCAGAAGGGTCTCCAGAGTTCTTAAAAGCAGAGACAACAGATGAGTACTTCCAACAGACTGAAAAGCAAAAGTCAACGAGGCAATAGTGATACAGTTTGGAGAGAACTGGAGCCTGTTCAATTTCTTAAGAACTACGGCTTGTATACCGTCACCACCATTTACTTTATGAGAGTCTAACTTAGAGATGATGTCCAATACCATTGACAAAGTTATGCTTATCTCACTCAATAGAGCCTTACTTCTAGTGTAGAAATCAGGTGTAGATACTCCGGATGAGTCGAGTCCTGAGTTGGATGAGAATTTCTGAACAAAGCATTCAGCCTTATCAGTTGAGGAATTTAGGACTTCGAATCGATTAAATAGAAGAGGCATTGTGGATTTGCTGTTGTTCAGCACACTCTTGCAGAGCTGTCAAATAATGCGAGATGCAATATGTTGTTTCATTCTATCGGCAAATAGTAACTTTGCTTCATTGAGGACACGTTTGCAATCATTACGAGCAGAGACGTGTGTTGCAATCAGACATGTCGCTTCGGTACAGACGGAAAAAGTGATTCCTATGGGCTATAGCAGCTAAGCAAGCAGCTCAGAACCAAAGAGATGAGCGCGATTTAACTTTATATTTTCTTGCTGGGATGAAAGCCTCGATGCTTTTACCCAGGAGGAAATTTCAGACGCACATTTTTGAACGAGGTGATTAAAAGTCACATTCCAAGGGACGTTGTGAAGGAAATCACGGAACGAGTCCCAATTTGCTTGTTGATAACAGAAAGATATTTTTTTAGTAGGAGGTTCTTGTCTGGAGGAGGAGGAGTGGTAGGAGATGTTAATAGATACTACGGTATGATCAGAGTTGCTAAGAGGGCAGAGCTGCGTAGTGGAAGTAAAACAGAGATCGAGAAGGGAAGCGTTACCGTCAGAAAAATCAACCACTTGCGTGAGCAAAATTTATTCAATTCAACCGATAGGGCCTATTTTTATTTTTTTGCATTTTCCCAATTTTCGACCAAGTTGTTGCATCAAAATTGTGGATAAACTGTCCGAAGTTGATGTTTTTGTTTGACTACTTTTTGCCATCTTGGTCATTATCAAAAACTAAATTTTGTCAGTATCGTTCTTTCTTGTTCAATATTTTCACTTCATTCCACGTGGCTTGATAAATATCCTTTTCCCTCCATACATGATCAGACATACCTAATTTCATTTCTCATCTCTTATTTCGGTTTTTCGATGTGCCTCCAACCTTACTTAATTGAGCAGGACTAAATATGAACTATATGGAATATTCTTAGACATGGGAATGAGGACAATCCAACACTGTAGGTTAAATGAAGGGTTCAGTTCGAAATTCCCTATTGGTTACCCAGATCGACATACACCTGCAGAACGGTCGAAATGTTATGATCACAGCAATAAAGATGAGAAGAATAGTTTGCATGTAGATCATGTAAATATGAATTGTTGCAAGTTTTAATAAGTGAAAAGTTAACCTACGAGAGAGTGTGATGCTTGTGTAACCAATATAAGAATTTTTATTTATTAGTATTGGAGATGCAAAAAAGGACAAACATTCATAAACAATATATTTACTTTTACATGTTTTGCAATTACTAACTGATATGTACCGGCAGATTAGATTTTTGAATAGGTTTTCTTTTTGTTTATAGTTACGGCGCATCTGTTTAAGATAGAATAAGTCAATAATTTTATTTTCGTTTATATAAGGATAGTTGTTTGTCATATTTTTCTGAAATTTTTAAAGCTACATTTACGAGCTTCTCGACGGGATGGTTGGGGAATTATTGCTAAATGCTTATTACTCAGTCCTTCATAGAATAATGTGTATAAAAAAGAAATTATTTTTTCTTGGTTAATAATGTTTTTTATCACATTTATTTTATAGCTTCGAAGACATTGCCTATTAAAAAGACAAGAGTTTTTAATCGTAAGTTATATAGAGTGACATAGGAAAATTATGATTGGTCTATTAAAATGTCAAGGAAGGAAATTTGCTATTAAGTTTAAGTTCATAAGTGGGGACTAAAATTTATTTTGTTTTCTTTAAGTTTATTTTCAATTCATCTAGGTTTTCGTTAGTATGAATTTGTTATTTTGGTGTTTTGAGGAGCTTTTTTTTCTTTCTTTGACTAAAGGTTATATTCAGTAGTTCCATCATTCGCCCTCGATGATTTTATTTGCTGAGTGCATAGATGTATTCGCCAGTTACCCTTATTTCAACGGCTTGGATCAACCGAGAGAGTATAAATGACTTCATCACCAAAAGACCAGTTCCGGGCGTCTGATGCCTGCGCACAATAGCACGTACTAAACTGGCAGTTGAGGCTGGTCATATATTTTAAATATGTTTTTAACGGTACAAAAAAGTATTATGGCATTAAAGGCAAGAAAGTTTTTAGTATAGGCAATGATAAATTTTAAAACAAAAACACAAGTCGACCGGTTTCGTCCCCTCTCGTCAGAACTGTAAACGGAGAAAACAGACTGTTTGCTTCGGCTTGCGGTGCCGTGTCTCTAGCATCTTTGGTGTTATAACTTTTATTATTATTTTTTTCCCTGTCCATTCATTCACGTCATCCGTGACAGACTTTCTTCTCATAATCTGTTTCCCCGTTTACAGTTCTGACGAGAGGAGACGAAACCGGGCGACTTGAGTTTGTGTTTTAAAATTTATCATGGCCTATAGTAAAAAATTTCTTGCCTTTAATGCCATAATATATATATTAGTGTTGCTTTCTTTGAGGGTGCTTTCCAACTTCAGATGAACTTGTAAATATCTACTTGTATTGTTCTTGTTTAAAATCAAACTTTATACTTTATAAGTGGCCGTTCTAGTTATTATTTCGATAGCCACCCGGACAACATTACAAAAATATGTACCTTTTCTTATGCTGAGTGTGACATCTAGGAAATCTACTTCTTCGAGTTTGTTTTTATGTCTATGTCGAAGATATATAAGTGACAAATAAGTGTAGGGAAATAATGAAATTAAATAAAATGGAAAAGAAAAAGAATAAAAGAAAACAGAAAAAAATACCTTATCTCCTTTTGGACCGACAGGACCTCGAAGTCCGGGAAGACCTGGTGGACCCTGCGCAATAAAAATGAGAAGAAAAAAAAATTAGCAAGTGAAACAAATTACAAATATTAGCAGCTCCTCCCCTAAAATATTTTACTACATTCAGCTTTAAAAAACAGTTTTATCCAGATGCAACGAATTGTAGATATCTTACTAAGAAAGGAAATGAAATTATCGATATGAATAGGGATCAGTGGTTGGAACACTGGACTAGAGATCCAAAAATCAGCCCGAAATATACGGCCAGTGCCTTGTTCCGAAGTTTTACAATACAAATCAATGACTGTAGACCCTTAATTTCTACCTACTTTATAAGTTATCTACATCGTGTATTAGTGACTGAACCATCGGCTGTTTTGGTCTCCAGGTTAATGCTCTTCCCAGAGATTGTTTGAAGAAACAGATTTTTGAGAAATAATATAAATAAAGGTTAAATAAAATGCTTGAAACTCATTTTGGAGCGCTGAAACCAACTTAAAAAAAATGAAAACGTTAGATTGGTTCGGCCAATATACTTATGTATTAAGTACAGTTTTTTTTTTTCTTCCCCGATACAAAGTCATCAGGTAGGTGATGAAAAGAGGATTGTGTTGTTTTAATCTTCTAGGTGGAAAGAGCTTGCCATTCGAAATCTTGACTCGAACATTGAACACTTGTGCCCACCGGTAAGAAATAAGAAATACACCACCGTCTCACCAACCAAGCAGGTCGCTAAGTATAGAAATTTTCCAAGCGTAGCTTAGATGTGGCACAAGGCCGAATGTAGGTGGGACCCAGTGAGGATCGAACTCACTACTCAGTCATAATTATTCTAGCAAGACAAGCTTGCTAACCATTACACCGCCTCAAGGTGCCCCAGGTCGCTAAGTATAAATACAAACTCGGAAACAGACAGAGAATGTCGCCCGAGAGATTAAATTACTCATTAAGAATAAGATAAAAACGTCCAATAATTTAAAAAAAGCACTTTATTAAATCAAGGTAATTTATATTTTCTTAAATCTACAATCAATACTACCTGTATATTGTAATAGTTGTTATATACTTAGCTTCGTTTAATTTGGCACATGGCCACAAAAATGGAGCATCCAGTAAGGATAATATTCACTACTCGATCGTACATCATTACACCACGTCTAGGTGATCCGTATTTAAGTTTAGTTTGGCAAAAGGCTGCAGGCAAGAGACAAAAAGTGAGAACTGAACTCATGTATATTTGCTCGTTAACCATTACTCAACGCCGAGGTGTCACTTATAATAATTTAATACATTAAAGGTAACTACTATTGTGTATAGAATTTGTATGCAACTATATCAACTATTTTGAGTAATATAATACACACATTTCAATAATGAAAACGTTATTCACACATCGGCGTATAAGATGTACCCTAAATTATTCACAATTTTTGATGGAGACTGTGAAAACTACGACATCACTTTCTTGTTTTATGTGTACGCGCTAATGAGGTATTCGGCTTCAAGGACGCGGTGTAAATTTTTAAGGGTTATTTAAAAAAAAATACCGTCTTCGAAGTAAAAATAATATCATAATACGGTCAAATACACACACGTGTTGTACCGTGTGTATATGTATTTGATAGCATAAAAGACACGCCATTTTTTTTTATCAGAAACTATTCATTAGGCACTTGGTTATCTACCTTAATAAAAGTTAAATATTACATTACCGAAAGACGTCATTTACTTTGTGAAGAAAATACCGTCTTTTCTATGCCGCCAAATTCAATGCGCGCGTATGTGAAAAGGTTTTAATTCATTACTACGCAAAATAAAAAAAAAACAAAAAACAATGCGTCCATTTTTAGTAAAGCATATTTCAGCGGCCAGTTATTTCCCATTTCATTCCTATTTGCCTTCAGCGCCCTCAAAACTTCTCAAGCTGATTATGTTAGATTTTTGAAGCACAAGAATTGTGTAAGCCAATGATATTATTTATATATATATATATATATATATTTGTGGGGGGTAGAGGCTGCTGAAATTTCAGTCACAATAACAAGAGTTTAGCAGTGTGAAATAGAAAACATGGCAAAAGAATTGAACTTCTTTTTTCAAAACACAGAAGGTAAAAAACGGCAACCAGATATACAAAGAATGAGTACACGCGAAGAAGAAAAGAAAGGAAGAGACAAATACAGGGACGCGCACAAGACGTGACACAACGTACAAATGCCGGGGTTGTTGGTCTGAAGACAGAATTATACCAGGCCATAATCGACTGAAGAACGCCGACTCCCTAAAAAAAAAAAAGACAAAACACTCGCAGAAATACAAAACACCAAAGAGAGAGAAAAAATATACAGGAACGCTATGTACTGACGCGATAGCTTTCCTTATTTGTCGATTTTATTGGACGAGGCCTATTTTGTCACGTTAATTTTCTTTCAAGAGCGCACAGAGGGGAACGAATATGATTAACGCGTTGGTCTCTAAGCCAGAAATATCAATTTTCCCTGGGTTCTCACTGAGTTAGGTCATTCTACGAGTGCAACTCCTATTGTGTAACCTAGTAAAGTCTGCCGGATGGTCGGGTCATCGGTGACTAAACCGTTTCCTCTACCACGCTTTTCTGGTGAGGAAGGTGACTAGAAACCCAGCAGGATTAAAAACAGGATTTGTCAAAAAGCTAACGAATCGTCATGGAAGGCATATATTGAATTTTGAAGGCACACGTAGAGCCGTGTTTTAAGAAGAAGCCAAACACTTTCAGAAAGAATTTGATTTTTGAGTATATATATATATAAAGAGAGAGATAATATTAGTGTTCAATATATATATATATATATATATATAAAGAAAGAACAGTAAGATATATAATCCGGTGTTCTTATTGATATTTTTATTTTTACAAAATAGTGCTCAATGTAAATTTACAGAGCATTAATATTATAAATTAACTGAGTTAAAATATGTTTTTTTCGCTACACAGTAATAACCATTTTTCAAAAATAGAAGCTAAAAGTTTCAAATTTAATTTTGTAATTAAATTAAAAACATTAGTTCCATTTCATCCTCAAGGCGAATTTTAAAGTTACTCCAAAATTGGCTTGAGGATGAAATGAACAATGTTTTTAATTAATTAATACTGTGAACGAAAAAACCATATTTTAAATCAGTTAATTTATAATATATATATATATATATATATATATATATATATATATATATTCCCAGAGGATAGAATCCAGGTAGAACTCAATTTCAGGACGGAGTAAGAATATAATATAAATGCCTAAACACTAATATTCCATGGTAATAATTTATTACATTGGAATCATAATCACGATCCAATTCATTACATTGGAATTGTAATCACGATCCAATTCATCAGACCTACAATTTGTAGGTATGATTATAATTATAACCATGGAACATTAGTGTTTGATACTTTTATATATTATATTACATATTATATATATATATATATATATATATATATTACACTGCCCCTATTAAAGCGATATTCCTAAATATTAGTATCGTCCCTAAATTTTAAAAACGATTTGCAAACTTTGCCACCCACCTCCACCGACGAGACTTTCCAGAAGGCTGATAAGGCCCACTAAAGGGATATGTTGCTAATAGACTTTATCGTGGCCTTCAAAAATTATAATGTCCAACTCCAGGGAACTCATTTCACGAGACAGGCCCTCTTTAATTGCACTGAGAATTGTAGAGACATGGCTATTCTCTGATGCATGTCGCGTGCCAAAAAAGAAGAGACAATGGAACTGGACAACTTTAGTCAATACGCACGCGGACACGTGCGGAGGTCACAAATTAAATCTGACCATGTGACGAATTTTTTTATCGTGAGGAATGAATTCCCAGTCTCAGTACGTGCGAGAAGACTCATACGTAACTCCGATGAGATATAGCGATAAATCGAACCATCCGACCTGCCCCCACCCATCCGGTGGGTCATATGAGAAGCCTAATGCGGCCGATCACAGACAATATTACAAGATGAATACGTCCCATCGTTGGATCAGGTAGGAACCAACTCATTAATAATGGCTGGCTTTCAACATCAGTTTGCTCGTTGTGACCTTAGAACGAATGCCTTCTTGAATCTACATTTGATAACAAATATGTCGCCATGGTAATACTTTAACATAAGATAACTATCATCTTATTTCTAAATGTATTTATTTATTCTATTTTGTACTATTTTGTAAGTATTTCTTTTTCAAACAAGACAAGCTTAGATATTTTGGGACTCATTTTGATATATATATCAGCTATTTTCTGATGTAGATTGTACAGAAGTTTACTTATTTGATTATAGACATATACGCTATAGCTGAAAAGTTTGGAGCCATCTTCTGAATCGAATAATTAGTATGTTTCATACTTTCTTTTTGTTTATTTAAATTCTACTAAGCAAAGATGCTTAAACTATTTAATCCAATAGTACATAGCGTCCCCTCCTTTTTTTAGGGAATTTACACCAATCCTAAGATTGCCATTAACTAGAAAGGTAAATCAAGTAAACAAAACAAAAAAAAAAAAATGATAAAGAAGGAGCTAAAATTTTAAGGAAATTTTATGCAGTAATGAGTTAATTTCGTTATTATTTCTATTACGGGATACATGATAAAGGTCGCTAAATCGTAAATTATTATTATTTTTTTTAAAGACAAGCAACCATCAATTTGTCTGAGAGTATAGTTATTTATATATATATATATATATATATATATATATATATATATTAGTCGACTCTCCCGTCGAGTTCGACGTATGAGGATCAAGCAGATCAGTTCCCAGGAAACCGACAGCCCGACAACAGCACAAGAGATTTGATTATAGTGGTGAAGGTTCCGTGCAGGACCATCCACACTTTTTGAAGGGACGAATACAGAGATTTGGTGCACTAAGTGCCACAAGGTTCCCAAACGAACCTCCGCAGGTTTTGAATTCAGAGTTGTCCTTCTCCTGGACCAGTTGCCATCCAAGGCTATAGAAGCCAGTCTGTCCTGCTATTTACCCATAGCTGGAGGGAGAAGAGGATTCATACCTTTTCCAAGGGTATTAGCACATAAGTGAATGTAATGGATTCGACTGGAACTGTCTATTTATTTTAAGTAAATTCCTCTCATATTGTCTGATAAGCTTAATTACATTATCGTTGAAAAATGAAAGGAAATCACAATATTAATATATGTATTTTAATCCTATCTCAGCTTTCGTCTTACATCAGCCATTAATGATACCAGCACTCACTGTGCGATATTATATATATATATATATATATTTTTTTTAAAGTCATAAATGTATGAATATATATATATATATATATATATATATATATATATATATATATATATATATATATATATATATATATATATATATATATATATATATATATATATATCAAGAACATATAGGTATTTTTTAACTTCTTTTAACAAAACCCCTACGGTAAAGTGGAAAATATTTAAAAAAAATAAAAATAGAACCTTTAAATCTTTATATGATCTATGTTTCCTGTGTTTAGAAGAAAAATTCGATATAATAATGTTTGCTAACCAACAAAGCTGTGTTAAACTAAAGAAATGAATTAATGATAATATGCCAACATTGTCTATCTTTTACCTTAAAATATACGTACGTAATACTATTTTATAGATATTATTTTATTAGTATATAATAGTCCAGCCACTACAGGTAATTGATTTATTTGGTTTATTCAACCTTAATATTGCCATGTTTTGCCGCCTATTCAGTATTATTGGTATCGTATATCGATGTTCCACATTTTTAATTTTATCCATTGGCGCCTTTAAGTAGTTTTCTGAATATATAAACAATTTTTTTTTAAATGAATTTGTCCACCCCACGACTTCAACAAATGGCAACATCATATTTGGCTACATTCATAATACATTTGTCGCTGTCATGTTTTCCACAATCGTTGGATGACATGTCTAAGCGCCAGTTTATCGTTGCATGAAAAAATAACTCACCCACCTCCATCCTCTGACGTTACTTTTATATTTAACTTAAATCTGACTTTTAATTTTTTAAACTAGACATGCCCACAAGTATTATTTTTAATTCTGAACTAATGCCCCCCCTCCTTTAATTTCCGAAAATAGCTAACGGTTTGTTTTTAAATTTCCCTAATAAATAATTTTTATCATCAGTTACCAGCCATCGCTTGTAAAAGTACAATCATAGTACAGTGTAACCCGGATATAAGAGAAACCCGGATATAAGAGAGATTTTATCTGGTCCCAAATTAGAGCCTGTGTTAATGTATATAAATTAGACCAAACCCGGATATAAGAGACTTCTTCTCCGGTCCCGACAACTCTCTTATATCCGGGTTACACTGTATTGAAAAATGAAAACTTTGTGTAGCGATGTAAAATGTTATTATAATCTCTTATAATAAAATTATATTTTGCACTACTTTGTATTCAGCACTTTTTTAAAAAAGTAAATGCTACGAAGTGTGGATTTTTACTCCATCTATTCTTTCTCTTATTTATTTTTATTATATATATATATATATATATATATATATATATATATATATATACACGTGTTTATACATGTGTGTATGTATGTATAAAACGCACTAAATTTAATTATAATTTTCAAATTACTTTCATAAACTGTTATCAAATGTTTTTTGGGGAATCTAGTTTAATTAATTTTAAGATATCGCATCTTCACGCAATGTGTCGCTCTTTTTTAAGTATCGTCTCTTCACCTGTCAGTTCGTGTCGTTTTTTTTAAACATTATACATATATATATACGTTATATATATATATATATATATATATATATATGAATACGCAGAGATCAATAGGTTCTTATATTTTCATACAAGCTTGAAGTCTTCCATGTTATAAAGTAAATCAAAAATGATTTCAAAATATTAGATAGGCACGATGGAACAATTTTCTCATATAAACAGTTCGTTAAGAAACCCTTTCCTTTCTTACAGGAATAGGCGGAGGTCAATATAATATAATATAATAATGATATAAGAACCTATTGATCTCTGCGTATTCCTATATCAACGGGAAAGGATTTCTTAATAATATATATATATATATATATATATATATATATATATATATATATATATATATATATGCCAGTTATTTAAGCTACTGAGAATAAATAGAATCGTAATTGAAATTCTTCTTTTGAAAATTTTCATAAGTCATTAATGTATTTAAACTACAACAGAAATAAATTTTTCTGTGTTATATGTC